CAAAAAGGGGAATCCCTCCCCAAATGTCAGTTTACTCTGGCAGGATTTGCCTTCCATCCTGTTTTGGCAGTAACCTTAATCTTCCAAACCATGGCAGAACAATTTAGATCCCTCAAAAAGGAACTTTCTATCACCGAGAGACTGCTTCTTAATTGAGCAGGTGAAACATGTCTGGAGCCTTACTCTTCAGTTGTGATGGCTTGTTAAAAAACTTATAAACTTTTGTCCTACAGGGCTCTAATATCTACAGTATATGGATGTACAGATCACTCTTGTTAAGGTGCTGGGAGCACTGATGCCATATCCAAACAGCATCTGACTCTATTGCCCTTCAAAGGACATTCTTTCTTTGGACCTATACTTAATAACATTGTCAGGGATTTCATGGGAGGAAAAAACAAACATACTCCTTTCTAAATGGACAAGGTCCAGGGAGAGGTCAGCTGAATTCCATACTTCTGCAGGCCTTCAGAGCATGAGTTTTGGCCAGCCCATAAGGCTAAAAATCAGACACCAGGTAAGCTGACTGAAAAGTCCTCTGCATGAAGGTACATATCCATGTCCATAAATGGGGGTCTGATTGTGAACTCTGGCAGTACCTAGAGTACCTCTCAGACATTCAGGTGCAGAGAGTGCCCTTTTTAGGCTCACCAGCTAATCCTCTGCCTCTAGTGCTTCCCTGAGCTGCTCTCGATCTCCCCTGTGCTACTGCACAGATTAATGCACCTTCCCAGGTCTCCTTGGGTTTCTCTCACCCCTGGAACTCATGCTACATTCTATGTGTCAACTCAGTCTCTGAAGCTGTGCCCCCATTCTTTCCCGAAGGAAAATCCACTGTCCCCTGGGATGTAAAACCCTTAATAGTACCCTTCAGCATTCTCCCTTTTCGGCAGGACCTCATGACCTACTAGGTTGAGTAGGACAAGCTCTTGACTGTTTTTTTTTTCATTAGGATAGGGTCCTGGATCTGGAGTATCACCTATGCACATTTAGTACTTCTCAGAACATTGACTCCTGTGTTTGGCTTAGCACCTTTTCCTGGCATCTCTATTTTGGGATGCTCATATGACCTCCTGTGAGAGTTAGCTTTTGTACATCTTCCCAAAAAATGGTTTCAGCATTGAAAATGGTCTGTTATCTCTTGGTGAGGTTGACCTGCTTAATTCCTCACTGTGAAGGTCCTTAGCCTGTGTACCTTTAGGACCCTTGTTATTAGATGGGGGGAACCCATTCTTCTCCCTTGTGGTGGGTTTTGGTTGACCACTTTCTTGCTGGTTTAGATTTGATGTTCCTTTCTGTGTGGGGTTTTTTTCTCTGGCGTGACTCTTCTCTCTAGGTCTTAAGCATCAGGTTAATTTTGGGCAGAAAGTAAGCCTCGAGTCTCAGAACAACCTTATTCTTGTACAACACCAGGAAAGGCTTTTTACAAGATAATGCTGCCAGTGTCGATACTTACCTAGTGGAAATGATAGCAAGAAGGAAAACCACCTTACAAGTGAGTTCAGCTAAGGCAGTGTTTCTCAACTCCAGTCTTCATGGACCCCCAACAGGTCATGTTTTCAGGATTTCCATTATTTTGCACAGGTGATTTGATCAGTTTCACTGCCTTAGTAATTACCACAGCTGTTTCATCTGAGGGAAATCCTGAAAACATGACCTGTTGGGGGGTCCATGAGGACTGGAGTTGAGAAACACTGAGCTAAGGGAAGGGCATAGAGAGGCTTAAAGGAGGCTTTGAAGAGCCAACAGCACCAGTCTGGGGTCCCATGGTGTCACTGGAGAATGTCTAGGAGTTATATGAGAAACTCCCTGTACAAAGGCTTTCAGCAGGAAGTGCTGGAATAGGATAGCCATGGCCAACATTTGTCCCTTTAACCATTGTCTAGGGTGAAACTTTCTCTGCTCATACTACACAAAGTAAGCCTTCCAGGTGCGATGGTAGGTTTTGCAAGAAATCGACTTCTAGCATGGACTGTTGGGATAACAAAATTCAATAAGCCTCTGTCCCTCAGAACCTAGGCTTCAACAGCCAGGCCGTCAAAGCCAGAGAAGCAGGATGGTAAATCATTCCTTGAGACAGAAGGAACATGCACTCTGAAAGAGGCCAATGAGAAGCTGTCAAAAGCCAGAGATATCCAAATACCAATTCCTCCTCAGCCAGTTCAGTGCCACAAGAATCTTTTTTTGAACTGGGATGCCAAAAGGTCCACATTCAAGGTCCTCCACCATAAAAAGTTCTGAAACACCTCTGGATAAAGTGATCACTCTCCGTGATCCAGACACAGATGGCTGAGGAAGTTGGCCTGACAATTTTCTACACCTAGAATACATACTGCAGTCATGGACATGGGACACTCTGCCCAAATCAGAATCGGTTCCGCTTTATTCTTGGCTGTTTGAGTTCTGGTGCCTCCTTCATGGTTGATGTCGGCCATGACTGAACTGTTCAAGGCTAGGTTCACACCTATGCAGGTTGCGTTTGAGCCATTTCTGCATTGCGTTTGTGCCGTTTTTTTTTTTTTCCCTGTTTTTAGGCAGATTTAAAATGCAAAACACATAAACAACACAGTAAAAATGCACTACACGCTTTTCTGCAGCATTTCCATTGAAGTCTATAGAGCCAAAAACGCAACTTTTTGCGTTCAAAAAAGTCCCTGACCCTTTCTAAAAAACACACCGGATGAAAATGCAGAGATGTGAACATGTCCCATAGGAAATCATGTTTAAATGGACTGTACTACCTTTCTGCAAAACACTGTTGAAAACGCTTTGTTGTGAACCTAGGGTAATAGGTAACAAGAGTGGAGCTAGAATCAAAGGGAGACGACCATATTATGGTATGTTAGTGTCACTGGACCTAGGTATTACACAGTGCATAACAAGTCCTCAGTGATTTAAAAAAGTCTATGTTGTGGCAGCCGGCTGCAGGAGCTAGAAGCGACTCTGTGAAAATCAAGAAGGGATAAAAAGTGGCGCCATCTAAGTGTAGCAGTAATACAAACAGTTTTATTTGCAAGTGTAAAAACTTACAGAAAGAGAAATAGTAGCAAGCATGTATAGCCCTCTGCTAGGTTCGTCTCCGGCCGCTGTGAGGAAGAACTGATCATCTTGGTCGCTCTAGTGGCTCCCAGGGCTACCTAGTGTGCCGTGTATTTGATGCTGACAGCTTGTGAGTGTTTGAAGCCTCATAAATGGAGACATCTAGTGCTGAAAGTACAGTCAAATGGCTCCAGGTGGTTTAAAGGAAGTTTTGATTCGCCCTATGACTAGATTTCCTGAACCTTAAACATACCAAGGATTCCCCTTCCTCACCCAGCTTGACAAGCTGGCATCTGTTGTAAGAATCTCCCAAGTTATTGGAAGAAACCTTTTGTCTGTCAACCTGTAGGGCTGTTGATGTGGCCACTCTCTTGTTTGAGACCAAAACCTGATTTGAACTTTGCCTGCCTTTTGACTACGGATTGATCCTGACTATTCTGACCCTTGCTTGCCTTGTACCTGGACTTTCATTGAACCACTCTGCTTGTCTACCAACCGCAAGTACCTACTTGCTTTGCTCAGTTCGCCCCTGCCCCGGCGTGGTGGCCAGGCACTATATCATTGTGTATAACCGAGTACTGGTAGGCTTGCTTGCCTTACAAGAAAGGGGGCTGCTATGGGTGAAGAACACAGAAGCTAGCTACAGTGTCTGATCACCTGCTTTAGGGATAGGCATGACAATCCCAAGTATTCCAGACCGCGAGTTGGATCCAGATTTCTGAAGGTTGAGGATCTGCCTTAAGTTCTATAGTGTCTGCACATTATGTTGTATGCCGGAATTCAAAGGTTGGACAGTGCAATCCTTCAACAGCATATCACTCAGGTATCCCACAATGTAGACACCCTGAAAGTGAAGAAGAGCCAGAACAGGGGCAAATATTTTTGTAAAGACTCAAGGAGCAGTGGTTGAATGGCAGAGACACAAGCTGAAAGTGACAGTCCCCACCACAAGGTGCCTAGGGTACCTATCCAGAAACTACAGCCAGAAGGGCTGGTACAAATCTGGGATGGATCAGGAATCAGAATAAAGTAATCCCCCTCACTAGAGAAAAAAACATCCATCACCTAAAGACACTAGCAAAAAGCTGATAACTGTCAGTGGGAGAGATTATATAGGGTTTCTAGCAGTTCTGTTTGCCAGTGTCCAATCACCTGACGGTAGCAATATATACCCATTTTGTCTACCACCCCTATGTCCTATAGTGTACAAATAAAAAAATCCTATTTTATCTCACTAGGAATTTTTTTAGGACCTACATCCGTTCATACATATTTTATTAACATTCCATTAAGAGGCGTCTGATGTGTAGACAATCATGCAATTTAGGCTATCGTGATTAATGAATTTTAATTCTCTAGAGATTGGTGAAGCCTGCATGACTATGTTAAGGCAAAGCAAACAATTTGTAGCTGCTTTGCAAATGAGTTTCATTTACTCTATTTACCAAAGCCTCGACTTGTGTATGAATTAGGATGTGAATTTTGTCTGCTTACATTGGTGAAGTAAAGTACATTCCCAGAAGGTCACCTTCAGCTGCACAAATCTGCACAGCACATGACTGAATGTCTTATAAATATTAATTCCTAGACTGTAGATGTGTTTCAGGAAAACAATGGATTACTAGTCTGTCTTGAGCAACCAAAAACTATGTTTTGAGTATGGTTTTGGACAGCACATTGACAAGCATGAGTCCCTATTAAGAACCACAAGACAATAAAGTATGGAAAGAAGCTGGAACAATTTTATCATCAAAGAAGTAGGATATTAAAAATATTGAGGTGTTTCATTATAGAATAAGCAATGCTTTAACATTTTTCATGACAACTGAAGAGATTTCAATATGAAAAAAGTCAAATCTAATTACAAATATGTCCTAGAGGTAAAAATATTAGTTTCTTGGCATCAGTATTTTCAATGAATCCAGACTGCAGACATCATGTTCACAGATGTTACTCCTGTGTTATTTCTTGGGCGCAATAATTCCTTCTAGCTGAGCCTACAATAAAAAATAATTTGAGTCGTTAGACTAGAAAGCCACTAACTCAATCTTGAATAAATAAACAAGAGCTAGCTTATCAGTTGCAACTGTTTTATGTTAACCTTAATGTACCTTTAAGTGGACCTGTCCCTAAACTAGTATACTTCATCAGTGACCTATCTAATGTTTGAGTTAATAGGCCCTTCTACAAGCTGAAGTGCCATTACATATAATAGGATCCTTGTAGACCACCAAGTGCATTATGCAAGCCTGTTGCTTGTACTTTTTCTAGACTAGACTAGTGAAGGAATTAGGTCTGCTATAGCGGAAATTGCAATGTTAAAGTATATGGTAATATGCACAGTGCTTGTCCAGACAGAATTAAAAAAAAATTCCAGGCAAGCAAAACCAATAGACGGGCTATTTGTGCTTCCAAGGAAAGCTGCAACTGTGCTCAAAACACAATCAACTCAAGTTACTTTGAGTTTTCTTTAAACCTATGCATCCAAATGTAACATAGTTCCCTACATTTTCCAGTGTGAATGTGTTTCCTAGAGTACTTCCTCTCTGCTTGTTAAATTACCAATAACTTTCGGGGCAGGTTTGAATCTAACTTGGTGCTTGGGGTGACTTAAATGAACTGAATTCATTTTGGACACTTTTAATAGATTTAATAAAAGCTGGTTCACTCAGAATCTGGTGCAGCTGTGCATGGTAGCCAGTCAGCTTCTACCTTCAGCTTTTTCAATTAAGCTTTGATAGTAAAACCTTGAAGCTGACTAGTTTCTATGCAGAGCTCTACCGGATTTTGTACCATGAAGTTTTAGTGCATAACCCCCTTTATGACAACAAGCTTTCTGTATGAAAGTGACAGCCAAGAAGCATAAAGTGGGAATACACTCCTGCATTACAAAAATATAAGCAAAATGGGGTTGGATTGGACTGGTTCACTACAAAAATGCTGGGATGAAAACCGAAAGTTGTGAGCATCTACTGTATGCTAGTGGTGTTTTAGGGCTTGAAGTTTTCATTTTGACTACCATGGATCGTGCAGTATGACCATCACTTATATTATATTATTATATTGCAAAGCTGAACAGTGGGCAACCTGTGAGTAGGTGAATGGAATCTTTCATCAAAGAGCTAGTACCAAATCCTTAACTCCTTCCCACCATCCAGCAGCTTTTTGCTGTACCTTTATTTATGCACATTTATCAAAAGGTTTTGACCAAGTCCAGCCACCTAGAAAAAAATTATTACTGTTAGCCAGGAGATTATCCAAACTACCTGATCTTATGTTCCTGTATTATATTCAATTGCCTAGCGGACCAGCACAGTTAATAACTGTGTAGTGCTGCATTAAGAATGTTTAGGGGCCCATACAACGTCCTAGTTCCTATAACAGCTGCCCTCATTTCTAAGCATTGCCTGCATGAAGTAGTATTATAAACTCCTTATTGGACCACTATAAATATGTAAAATGCATCGATAATGGGGGATCATTAGGGAAAGAAACATAGCAATCTATTGGCAGGGCACAATGTCCTGTAAATTTTCTCCTCTCAGTGTAGGAAGACAGTAAACTCAACAGTGAATAGCCAATTTTTGCCTGCAAGTAGTATTGATTACTCTTCCCTATGTTCATGCCCCAGCAGCAGGGGAGGACTGGGACCCTTTGACTTGGGGGCAAACACTGCCAACTGGCCTTTTCGTAGTAGGAATCAATTTCTGTGGGCTAAAAAAATAATTACCATACAAGACGTGGAGCACCCATTGGTACCCATGGTGAAAGATAGGTGTTCTTAAAAGACATGTTTTATTTGGGCACATTTTTACATATCTTCCAAATTTCTTTCTGGCATTGGGCATTCTGCCATGTGATGTCTCAGGCCGCTAAGGAAAATTGTGCTGAAACATTTCCCTCTGCCAGATGTTGTGATTGTAAGTTTGAATGGGGGAGTTATGAACAGTATATGTCACTGACAGAGTTCCACGAGAAGGGACACCAGATTAGTGAAGTATTTATGAAGGCCAGCAGCCCAACATATCTTGTTAGTGATGGTCTGGGGGGGAAAGCAAATACCCTCCAGCCCAGCAGGTATAGCAAGGCATAAACACATGCAGTGCTTTTATGCAAAAACAAAAAAGGATTTGGTGTAAAAGCTGCCCAGTTCTGGTAAACAAGGTACCTTCACATTTTTTCTTCTGTTGCGGTGCATTGTTCTATGTATGATAAAGTGGTATTTTGTATGTTAGAGTGTGCTGTGTTAACACAGCCCATTCAGCCATGTGATTTGTGGTGCTCTTCAACATATGTTCACTGCCAGATACTGGATTGTGCATTGGGGGACCTTTTACCACACATTGCTTCAAAGCTCAAGTGTAAAGTAACCGCAAAGTTTTTAAGGGGTCCTGGATATCTTTATCAAATAATGGATTAATTTTACTTGATGCCTAGAGTAGCTCTTTAATGGTGTCAGGTACTATAGGCGTATGTCTTGATGACAGAATTATTTCTAGGCTTAATGAAAACATTCAGGAGAAGAACCTGACCATTCTTTTATGGAAAACACAAACACTTAACAACTTGCCATATTTTGTCAACCCTCCCCAGGAGAATATGTCAAGCTTGGCGTAATAATGAAAAGGAAATAAGATGAAAGCTGATGCATTTGGTCTGCTTTCCTATTTTCTGAAATGCTTTCTGAAGAAAAATAGCAGCTGGGTGCTTTTTTCAATTAAGGTAGTCTTGATATTAAAATACCAGACATTTTTGTTTTCAAATAAACATTCAACCATATTTGCAAAAAAAAAAGTTTACAGTGCCTTGAAAAAAGTATTCATACCCCTTGAAATTTTCCACATTTTGTCATGTTACAACCAAAAACGTAAATGTATTTTATTGGGATTTTATGTGATAGACCAACACAAAGTGGCACATAATTTTGAAGTGGAAGGAAAATGATAAATGGTTTTCAACATTTTTTACAAATAAATATCTGAAACGTGTGGCATGCATTTGTATTCAGCCACCTGAGTCAATATTTTTGTAGAACCACCTTTCACTACAACTACAGCTGCAAGTCTTTTTGGGGATGTCTCTACCAGCTTTGCTCATCAAGAGAGTGAAATCTTTGCAAAATAGCTCAAGTTCTGTCAGATTGGATGCTGAGGGTCTGTGAACAGCACTTTTCAAGTCTTGCCACAGATTCTCAATTGGATTTAGGTCTGGACTTGGACTGGGCCATTGTAACACATGAATATGCTTTGATCTAAACCATACCACTGTAGCTCTGGCTGTAAGTTTAGGGTCGTTGTCCTGCTAGAAGGTGACCCTCTGCCCCAGTCTCAAGTCTTTTGCAGACTCTAACAGGTTTTTCTAATAAGATTGCCCTGTATTTGGCTCCCCTCATCTTCCCATCAACCATGTTTCACGGTGGGTATGATATGTTCAGGATGATGTACAGTATTAGTTTTCTGCCACACATAGCATTTTGCTTTTAGGCCAAAAAGTTCAATTTTTGGTCTCATCTGACCAGTGCACCTTCTTCCACATGTTTGCTGTGTCCCCCACATGGCTTCTCACAAGCTGCAAACAGGGCTTCTTATGGCTTTCTTTCAACAATGGCTTTCTTCTTGCCACTCTTCCATAAAGGCCAGGTTTGCGGAGTGCAGGACAATGGTTGTCCTGTGGACACATCCTCCCACCTGAGTTGTGGATCTCTGCAGCTCCTCCAGAGTTACCATGGGCCGCTTGGTTGCTTCTCTGATTAATGCTCTCCTGAATGACCATGTCTTGGTAGGTTTGCAGTTGTGCCATACTCTTTCCATTTTCAGATAATGGATTGAACAGTGCTCCATGAGATATTCAAAGCTTGGGATATTTTTTTATAACCTAACTCTGCTTTAAACGTCTCCACAATCCCTGACCTGTCTGGTGTGCTCCTTGGCCTTCATGATACTTTGTTCACTGATATTCTCTAACAAACCTCTGAGCACGTCACAGAACAGCTGTATTTGAACTGAGATTAAATTGCGCACAAGTGGACTCTACTAATTAGGTGACGTCTGAAGGCAATTGGTTCCACTAGATTTTAGTTAGGGGTATCAGAGTAAATTGGGCTGAATACAAATACACGCCACACTTTTCAGATATTTATGTGTTAAAAATTTTGAAAACCATCTATCATTTTCTTTCTGCTTCACAATTATGTGCTACTTTGTAGCATTTACATTTTTGGTTGTAACATGACAAAATGTGGAAAATTTCAAGGGGTAGGAATACTTTTTCAAGGCACTGTATATGTTCCAGCAATACACCAGCAGGTTTAATCATACCCCAAATATTGTTAAAGGTGCAGAAGTACTGTCAAACAGGAGAACACTTTGGGCTTATCAAGGTCTCTGTCCTGAAATAAAACACAGTAATGCCTTTTACTGTGTTACTGCATTGCACAAAGCTAATTGCAATGCACCTAGCTAGTGCACCACAACGCACAATACATATACCATTTGTGCATTACATTACCCCGTGATGTCAGCAACCAAGATTTTAGAGCAGGACCCAGCTTGTGACAGAGGAACAGCAAGTCACAGCAGGACAACACTGGATTCGCTGGTGGGGTGAGTATATGAATTCTGCATTATACGAAAGATAAAGGTAAAAGGGTGAAAAAAAAAACGTGGTGTGGGGGGAGTGAAGTTCCACTTTGACCCTTTCGCTGCCATAACCATTTTTTGCATTTTTTTGCACACGTTTAAAAAAAAGCATTTTGGGTTTGAAAATTACACAAAACCCCTAGACATTATATAGTTTTTGAAAGCAGACACCCTAGAGAATAAATTAGTGGTAGTTCCAATTTTTTATGTCATACGATATTACCATAAAAAAACCACACTAAAGTTAATTTTAGGGCAAACAAATGCAATATATTACTCACATTTTTGGTAAAATATAAAAGATGAGGTTTGCGGAGTAAATAGATACCCAACATGTCAAACCTTAAATTTGCGTGCACCTGTGAAATGGCGGCAAACATCAGTACTGTATTGTTTCTATAGGTGATGCTTCAAAAGCCCCTACAGGTCATCGGTTTAGTTTTGTGCTAGAATTATTGCTCTTACTCTGGTGTGCGCAGCAATATGTACCATGTGTATTACAACTTACGTTTTCATGCGTAGGCGGCGCCGTCGTGTGCGTTTGCATATATGGGGGTGGGGGATGTTATGTGCTCGGGTGTAACTTTTTTTTGCAAATAAAAAAAAAATTTTTGTTACTTAACTTTCTTTTTTTCATCACATAGGGGACACAAAATTCCCTATGTGATGTTTTTTAGGTCTCCACATGTCTCTGCTGGGCTCCACTGGATGTATTGCAATGCAGATCGCATTGCAATACTTCTCTATTCTAGCCAGGAAAAGTGACAGTTGGGACCTGGAAGTGACGTCATGCACGTTGCTTTCCGTTAGCCAAGAGACAAAAGGGCATTGCACAAGATTGTGACCTGGAATATGAAAACAACTGCTGAAAAAGTGACTGCAGAGCTCAATCTCAGTCTTCTTGGGACTGAGATTGTGCTTTGCAGTCACTTTTGCAGCAGTTGTTTTCTTACTGCTACTGTAGACAGCTTCCTAAAAATTGTATTTGCCTGTCTCTGGCTTTATAATTATTTAAGTCACAGGATCGTAACAAGCATGCACCAATTGAAATAAGAACTCTTGAGCTGCATTCTTGTATCCGGTCACTGAAACCAGTGGCTCATCATTACACAAAGGCAAATAGCATTTTTAAAATTTGAGATAGTTTATTTTTCTCATGAAATATTTCCTTTAAATGTGGCCACATTTATGGGTTTAGCATACCTTCAACTGCTGGTTAGTCCTTTTGAGAAACTGTATTTCCTCTGCGTGCTTCTTCTCCTCTACCTGCCGTCTCTCCGCCTCTCGTTTCTCTATAGCCTCACACTTGGCCTTCTGTTCATTGACCTGTCTCTCCATGTCCTTCTTCTCTTGCTCCAACTCTGCAATCTGCAGAAAACACACAATATGATTGTTAAGACTTGTCTGAAAATCTAGGGCGTGATCAGGAAATGTGGTCTTTGTGGCTGGCAATTACATTAACTATGGCAATAAATTTTAAAGCATGACTCCAAATGAACTAGCCCATCCCTTATTCTTGCGGCCAAGTCAACAGCTGGGCTCAGAGAAAGTAGGAGTAATGACACTGGCTGTTTTTTAACCCTGAATACTGGCAACATCTAGTGGTGAAAAACAAGTATTGTAAAGAGAGAGAAGGCAGCTCTGGATTAAAATGTGAGTATTGCAGCACACCAGTTTTTTTTTTCACCTGAAGCTCTACTTTAAATCTGTGCGTATTAAAGTGAAACTGCACTGCATCTGAGCACCACAAACCAAAAATGCTATTTAATTTTGAAAAACATCCCCTGGTATTTCTGGCAGTGGCCATATTGAGTAAGGGCAGATGATTCATGTAGCATTTACTTCCTGGGATCGATCTGCCCTTAGCTCAGGAATTGGCTGAGCTGAGAACCCTCCCTCCCTTCCTGAGGGCTCCTGGGATGTATGACATAATTTGCCTAGGCATGGAAACCAGGAAGTAACTGAAGAAATGTAAAACAAAAGTTTAAAACAAGTGAATTATATACAGTATCTCACAGAAGTGAGTACACCCCTCACATTTTTGTAAATATTTTATTATATCTTGTCATGTGACAACACTGAAGAAATTACACTTTGCTACAATGTAAAGTAGTGAGTGTACAGCTTGTATAACAGTGTAAATTTGCTGTCCTCTCAAAATACCTCAACACACAGCCATTGATCGCTGGGTACAAAAATGAGTACACCCCTAACGAAAATGTCCACATTAGGCCCAAAGTGTCATTATTTTGTGTGGCCACCATTATTTTCCAGCACTGCCTTAACCCTCTTGGGCATGGAGTTCACCAGAGCTTCACAGGTTGCCACTGGTGTCCTCTTTCACTCCTCCATGATGACCTCACGGAGCTGGTGCATGTTAGAGACCTTGTACTCCTCCACCTTCCATTTGAGGATGCCCCACAGATGCTCAATAGGGTTAAGGTCTGGAGACATGCTTGGCCAGTACATCACCTTTACCCTCAGCTTCTTTAGCAAGGCAGTGGTCATCTTGGAGGTGTGTTTGGGGTTGTTATGTTGGATAACTGCCCTGCGGCCTAGTCTCTGAAGGGAGGAGATCATGCTCTGCTTCAGTATGTCACAGTACATGTTGGCATTCATGGTTCCCTCAATGAACTGTAGCTCCCCAGTGCCAGCAGCATTCATGCAGCCCCAGACCATAACACTCCCACCACCATGCTTGACCGTAGGCAAGACACACTTGTCTTTGTACTCCTCATCTGGTTGACGCGACACACGCTTGACACCATCTGAACCAAATAAGTTTATCTTGGTCTCATCAGACCACAGGATGTGGTTCCTGTAATCCATGTCCTTAGTCTGCTTGTCTTCAGCAAACTGCGGGCTTTCTTGTACATAATTTTTAGAAGAGGCCTCCTTCTGGGATGACAGCCATGCAGACCAATTTGATGCAGTGTGCGATGTATGGTCTGAGCACTGGCAGGCTGACCCCCCACCCCTTCAAACTCTGCAGCAATGCTGGCAGCACTCATACGTCTATTTCCCAAAGACAACCTCTGGATAGGACACTGAGCATGTGCAGTCAACTTCTTTGGTCGACCATAGCAAGGCCTCTTCTGAGTGGAACCTGTCCTGTTAAACCACTGTATGGTCTTGGCCACTGTGCTGCATCTCAGTTTATCTTGACAATCTTCTTATAGCCTAGGCCATCTTTATGTAGAGCAACAATTCTTTTTTTTCAGATCCTCTGAGGATCATGTTAAACTTCCAGTGACCAGTATGAGAGAGTGAGAGCGATAACACCAAATTTAACACACCTGCTCCCCATTCAAACCTGAGACCTTGTAACACTAATGAGTCACATGACACTGGGGAGGGAAAATGGCTAATTGGGTCCAATTTGGACATTTTCGCTTAGGGGTGTACTCACTTTTGTTGCCAGTGGTTTAGACATTAATGGCTGTGTGTTGAGTTATTTTGAGGGGACAGCAAATTTACACTGTTATACAAGCTGTACACTCACTACTTTACTTTGTATCAAAGTGTCATTTTTTTCAGTGTTGTCACATAAAAAGATATAATAAAATATTTACAAAAATGTGAGGGGTGTACTCACTTCTGTGAGATACTGTACTTTCCTATTTATTTAATAATGCTAGCAGCATAAGAATTAAAAATAGTCAATGTTGATTGAGAGAGTGAAGTTCCACTTAAGTTAGTACTATAAAGTTTGACTGTTAAGTTTTCAAGAAACTATTACATTTTGGATGTTTGTTCCATATTACATGATTGTGCTCTGTATACATATTTGTTGATTCACCATGAAGTGGCGGGATGTACTGTATCCTAGGCAAGCACAGGGATGGATTTACCATTAGAAACAGTAGAACTGTGCCTAAAGGCAGCAGTAGCAAAGAGAGAGAGATCTTAAAAAAAAAAAACTAGTCATTGCATATGAGTTTATGCACATATTCCCACAATATTTTCAGATAGGTCGGAACCAACAAAACAGGAAAATGTTCAAAATAAAGGAAGTTATTACAGTAGATGAGTGTTGCCGTTGGTGCCTACAGGCTTCAGTGATGGAAATTTAGCCTTAGCCCCTGTGCTAAATTACCGAAGTCAGCCTTGCAGATACAGTATGTTCTTCTCTTAATATAAACAAGTTGAAAAAAGGACATTGAACACGCATTGATAATATAGTAAAGTGACATTAAACCTTCTTTTATTTTAGAGGAAGATCCACACCTACCAACACTTTTGCTTTAAAATATCACTTTGAAGTTCCCATACCCTCCTTTCTGTTTGTAAGTGTCTCCTTTAGTTGGCTCCTCCTGTCCGGTACCTGTACCGAGCTGTGTGTGTCCATAGACACCTCAGTGTTTCATGTAGAACAAGGAAGTTCAAGGAATGGTGCCGATCCCAGAGCCAGTAGTGGTGGCAGGGATGGCAATTAAAGTGTAACTAAAGATAAAACTTTTTTTTTTTTTTCAGCTTTTAATAAAGTGGAGAGGGGTTTGAACCCCTACCAGGTTTTTTGCTGCTGTCTGTGGCTCTGTTAGGGAGACTCACCCTTGCTATTTGTCCTGTTTATCATTATCATTGAATATAAAAGTAAAAAAAATCCCAAATTTTGGCTGCCATCAGAACAGTAATAGAGGGAAAATCTTCCAATGGCGATACTAGTTCTGATGACCATGCCGAAATCCCCTCACTTTGGAGGAATTTCCTCTCACTTTCTATTTTGGCTATGGGACAGGAAGTGAAGGGAAATCTCCCCAATGGGACAGAGATGGAAAAATAAAAATATGGCAAGGGTTATAACCTTCCCTTACTATGTTCAAAAAAGTATTACCTTTAGTTCTACTTTAGGTTTTTGGGGAGGGGTAGATACAGGGCCGTGGATAAGGGGGTAACACCAGTCCTCCTGTACGGGGCCCAAGTCAGCAGGGGGGCCTAGGCAGCTGGATAATTCGGATGTAGGCAGGGAGGGTGATCGGCACGGTGGGGGGGGGGGGGGGTAATTACTGGAACCGATCCCCTGCATGGCTCTCTCTGCTGCAGATGAGAGCTGACTTTTCTCCTCTCCCACCTGCTAGCTTTCAGCTGCTGCAGAGAGAGCCACACAGGGGATTGTTTCCAGTAATTGCCCTACCCGCCTCATCCATCACCCTCCCTATGCACCATGCATTTCCCCCTGCTGCCCAGGCCCCCCAGTGTGCCTCCACCCCCGCAGTGCTGCCAGCTTCCCTCCTCACATTTACCAGCCCCTTCCATTCCTGCATGAACACAACGAGTGATCCTTACTGATTACTCACTGTGTTCATTCATAACTGAAGCATAGTAACCTTTGTTTTCTTTGGGGGCCCTGTCATGTTGGCTGTATGGGGCCCCATGGTTTCTAACAGCAGCCCTGGGTAGGTGTACAATGTTAGGCCTTTAGTAGTACTTTAAAGCTGGTCACATTAACATACTTTTCTAGCTTTTTGTTGCCCTGTCCCAACTTTAGTGAGACGTGTTCCTGCCATCAATTCCAAAATGACTTTATTTTTTTTTTCTTAAAACTAGTTTAAACATTTTATGTTTTCTGTTTTGTATTATGATTAAAATATGGGTTTAGGAGATTTGCAAATCATTGTACTGTTTTATGTAGACGTTACACAGAATCCCCCCCCACAAAAAGGGTTAAAAGGATTCCCAATAAACTTAAAAGCTTTCCTTTTTAGTTTTGTATAGAGTAGGTAAGGATTATTCTTTGTTGCTTGTATTCTGTTGGGGAAATTTACATTCACTTCCATTTCCAGAAATAACATGCACAGCTGCACCAGATTTGGAGTGCTCCAGTTTTAGTAAATCTCCCCCATAGTCTCACCTGTAGTTCTGGCGACAACTCCTAAATTTTGTATTCCCTATCTTTTTCTGTCTGACAATAGTCACCTAGACATATGAATAGGGAACCAAACAATATGGTAGTGTGACAAGGGCACTCCTACCTGAAAAAAGAAGGTTACTAAATGATCCACGCGGAGTAGTATGAATTCAAAAAATCCAGGCAATACTTTATTTGATCACATAGATCATAAGGAGGTTAAACATGAGCACGGTGAACATGTCAAACAAAATAAAATCATGTTAAAAAGCACTTGGCGTCTTCATTATAGGGTCATCTTAGCAAGTAGAGCACCATATAAGGCAATATAGAGTAATGGTGAGGTAGTTTCGCCTAGATTTCCATGGATTTCCAGCTTATATTGGAATAAGCCATGTATTCAGCAGATATGTTCCCAATATATGTCAGGAGCCTCCTGGTATATGGAAGCTGGAATACAAAAATACACAATGTGTATAAGAAAATGTAGGAGCTGAATCGCATCCAAGCCTCACCAAGC